GAAAATCGAGTGAACCCAGGAAAGAAGAATCTTCAAACTCGTTTGTGAGTGCTGAAGAAGATCCAGAAGAGAACCCATCAGAAGAATCTCGCCGAAATCCGAGGGAGAGTCTTCGCAATAGCAAAGAAGACAAAGTAGGCGAAGAGATCCAAGAACTCGAAAGTCCAGAAGAAAAGACGCAAGAAGCGAAGATACCCGAAGAACCACAGCAAGAAACAACCAAGATTGAAGATAAAGATCTACAAACTCCACTGCCTCCAGAACAAGCTGATTCGGGTAAGCTCGATGATCTTTTTGTCTACCCTACTGACGAACTAGATGTGAGCTCGGATAGTGAACCTAGGCTGATTAGAAAAGGAGCAAAAAGGAGAGTAGATTTTGATAAGAACATGAGGGTTCAGCATAAAGAATCTAGGAAGGATGTGGGTGACACATCTAAACGGATGGATGAACTGCCCTCTGAACAGTTAGGGCAAGAAAAATCCAAGGATGAAGCTGAACCGGAAGTTGTTGCGGACTCAGCAACAGAGACGGAGGTGCTCAAACCAAAAGAAGATGATGGAGTTGAAGTGGATTCCAGAGTTGAGCAAAAGAAGGCCAAGGCCAAGGTTGCTGAGAAAAAGGGAAAGGGCCCTGATACACGAGTTGTGACTGAACAAAGAGCAAGGACCCGATCTCAAGTAGCAACAAAATCAGTGAAAACTGTCAAAAGCCCTGTCAAGAAAATCCCAAGGAGGATGAAATCACAACCAAGTTTGGTGATTTCTGAGCAAAAGACCCCTAAGAAAGCTGTGAAAAGGAAAGGTGAAGCTGCAAAACATTTGCCCCCAGCAAAATCCTCAAAAGTCTCTGAGGAATACAGAAAGGAGAAGAGGAAGGGGAAGAAGCAAATTCAGGAAGAAAAGGAACCACCCAGTTCACCTTCTGGATCAGAAGATGAGGAGCTACTGGCAAGCCTCTGCATGTCTCATCACTTTGTTGATGAAAAGTCCGAACAAAGATTCAATGACATGAAGAACCTCAACACAATTGTTGAGAGAAATGTAAATGTCAGCAATTTCAAAGAGCAAGGGATTTGGGACTTCCTAGAGAGTCTAGGACTAGAAGAAACTGTCACATATGCTTGCCCACACAGCAAAATTCTGATCAAGGAATTCTATGCTAACATCTCGAAGAAGATTGTGAGGGCGGGAGATCCGATGTACCATCGAGTGTACATACGGGGAAAGATCCTACACTTCTCTCCAGCAGTGATCAATAAGTTCTTAGGATTGAAGAACACAGTGGTGGCAACCATGGACGAACTGGATAGAGAGATTGATCAGAAGGAACTGGAAATAGCACTCACTGATAGCTATGACGAGAAGAGGAAAGAAGAGATAGCACCAGTAGACCTGAATTTTGAATCTTCAGTTCTGTTCAAGATCGCCAGATCCAACTGGTTACCAACTCAGCGATCGAGTCTGATCCACAAGAGATTGGCGATACTCATCTACTGCGTGAAGAAGGGAATCAAGATCAATTATGGAAGTATGATCTTTGATCACATTCTGGATAGAGCACTGAACTTCAGAGCAAGGTTCAGGTTACCCTATCCTTGCTTGATTCAAAGTATACTCATCAAGCAGTGCCCTGAACTCATTGATCCAAAGGAGAACACTGAGGTTGTTCAAAAACCTCTAGTAGTTGAGTCAAGAATCAAAAGAAAGAAGGGAAAAGGTAAGAAGGACTTCAAGAAGATGCTGGAGACACTCAAGGACGCAGAAAAGGCTCTGATCAAGATGGAACTCGGTCTAAGGAAGCAGGCAACACACTGCCAGAAGATTCGTGCATCAGTCCATGAATTTGTGGAAGCAACTCTGAGTAATGTGCTCATTATTCAATCAGGTACTCCTCAACTAGATAAACTTGTGTGTTGATTATTTCGTTCATGCCCACAGGGGGAGAAATTGAGGAAGCAGAAGGAGATCTATACTCAGAAGAAGAAGATTCGGAGGAAGAAGAAGAAGAAGAGCCTGAGATGCCCAAACAAACTCCATGGAAAGCAGAAACCTCGAAGAAGTCAGGAACAATCAAGAAAGTGAAGAGGGTCAAGAGTTCATCGGAGGACTCATCTGATCGATTCTGATGTTTTTTCTCTTATGCTATTGATCTGAACTTATGTGCGTTTGATGACTTTATGCGATGACTCTATGTGTTTTTGATGATGACTCTAGCTTGTTGGAATTTGATGAAGGATTTACAATTGTGTGCATGATCTGAAATAACCAACAAGGGGGAGATTGTTAGTGCATGTGTTTGCACGTATCTTGGGTTTAGTGCATGTGTTTGCACGTATCTTGGGTTGTTGAAAGTTTGTTGCAGGTCCAACAACTTTTGAGAGATTTCAGGAGAAAGATTCGGCGAGATCAAGCTCGAAGATATCTGAGATGCAACTGACAAGATTCAGATGAAGTCAAAGCTGAAGAGATAGAGTTAAGCTGAAGAGATAAAGATGAGATCTTGAAGATAGACACGAAACCAACAAGAATCAAGGAGAAGTCTATCAAATCAATTCGTGGAGATCTGAGGCTAAGGGAGGAGCCTATATAAGGAAGACACAAGTTGCAGATCGATGGAGAGAGAAGGAGCATAATTTCTAAGTCTATTTTGTTAAGTGAGTGTGTTCTCATTATCTGGTGAGTGCGAGTCTGAGAGGGAGACCGATTGGGCAAATCTCTTCTCTCTGGTGAGTGATTTATGTGGTGAGGTTTTTTGATCAGTAGAATTCATTGTGAGAGGGGAAGAAACTCAGGGGGAGTTTCGGGTGTGTGTAGTAAGTACGATTCTTACAACAAAAAGTGAGTTGTACTTGACTATCTTTCTCAAGTGAATAGAACTGATTAGTTTTCCGCATTACTCTTTGAGGGTTCAACTTTTTCAAGTCTTGTTTAATTTGTACAACAGATATAAATAAATACTCGTTCTTATGATTCAATAATACAAATCAATCTGGACTAAGGCAGAATATATTCTAATATGATTCAAGAGAACCCGAAGTATAATATAAACAAATATATTTTATGGAAAGTTTTATATGGGTTCATAAAAATTTGATTATGTTAATTCCTTTATAATAATAAACATTCAATTGTTACTCTTACATTACAACTTAAGAAGATACAAAAACAGTAATTCTCTAGTTTATGGGCTTTTTTTTTTTCATTTTACGAGTTTTTGAAGTATTGTAAATTATTTTTTAAACAAAAAGAAACAAATCAACCAGTCCATTTCTCGGTTTAAATTTTGAATTTGAAAAATTGATAATCATATACCACAAAATAGGAACTTCTATACACCTTAGTTACAAGTTCAATCTCATCCTAAATATGTAAGAAATTTTATCATATTCATTTGCCTTCTTCCACATGAATTGTTCTTGTGATTCTTGTTGTTTCAATCTCACGTTATATATATATATATATTTGTGTGTGTGTATATTATCAAATATGTCGGCTCCAGAAAAACCACCAAAGAAAGCTTTCAATGTACAAAACTAATGTTCTCTTCCTCATTCTCTTTCCAAATCTTTTTCCCCCCAATCACTCTTTTCACAATAGATCAAGAATCACAATCTCATAAACCTCTCTTTCGATCTACGAGTTATCTTCCTCGCCATCGTTTCAAACCTCTATTTCCCCAGTTATTCTCTTTCACAATGAATCCGCAATCTCGAGTTTCACCACACTGAATCTGGTCAATTTTCACCACAAGGCAGATGAACTTCCACCCGACTCCACTGACTCCGATCCATATAAGAATGTTAACCACCGAAATGATAAGCCGTAGATCCACCATTTGGCCAACCACGCGTAGTTTGAGATGGGAGCCGACCCGTATTGGGTGACACATCCCTCGAGGTCCCATGGAAATGCCAAAACTAACGCTCCAATGTATAGGGCGATGCAACTGATAAGAAAGATGTGAATGTTGCACCGAAATGAGCCACTCTGCTTGTGAAGAAGTAGCGTGTGTAGAAGTAAAGGTGGACTAGAATTCCGAATGATAGTTGCCACGATACCCCCAGCCCGCCCACGAACTGCAGTACCCGCAAAGCAAAACCTGTGATTTTCTTAGAGTATCGGGACATAAAGTTGTTCACTTTGCAAAACCCACCATTTTTGAATATGGTCAAGGAATTGAAGTGTCGAAAATAGCATGAGAGGTGAGGAATGAACCTTGACAACGGTTTTTCTTAACACTCAAAACACAAGTTGTATTTACTTAGCAAACTGATAGCCTATTAGTTAGCTAGGAAAGCCAGAATAAGAGACGAGCTGTCCATCCCAATTTATCGTCCACACGGCGAAATTTGTTTTTGACAAGATGGAAAATTGAATAGTTACACTGCTCTCTCTTATCGACTGTTTGGGAGCGTCATTGGGTTCTGGAAAATACGTGGATGATTGGCAATGGCTCGGAGAGATCGACTTGTTGGATAAGCATCCATGGTGAGCGAGGTATTTGTGGTGAAAAATATCTCAATAATGTTCGAGTGTTGTTCGAAGTGGAGGAAACGAATGCGACGGAAATAAAACCGTTGATAAGAGAAGGCAGTGTAACTCTTCAGTATCCCATCTTGTCAAAAACAAAGTTCGTCTTGTGGGCGATAAATATGAAGATAATTAAATATAAAGATGTTCAGGTCCGTGTCATGGAAGTTTCTCTAGTTAACTTCGATGATAGAACAGTTGGAGATTTGAAGAATATGAGCATCGAGGAAGTGAAGGCACAAGATTCGGTTTTTGGGTTAGATTCTCTGAAATTTGTAAACAGTTCAAAACGTTAGTGATCCATCGTTATGAAGTGAGACCCTTATCTCTATTTCTTTCTCATATTCTTATGTTCTTTACTATTCCAACGAGAAGTTTGGCAGAAACTTGACAGAACTCGAACCATATATATTTTGAAATACCAACAAATTTAAACCTTCCATCTGTAAGCATTCAGGAATGTGTACACGTGTGTTTCATCTGTGGGCTAATTAGTAATCCTATGTATCTATCTTTGGACAAGAAAATTAAAGAAAAAGAAAAGAAAAAAAGGGTCATTTGTTTGGTTTGGGGTTGAAAGAAAATGAAGGCTCGGCGTGGTTCATCAACTCCTCAAGATCCCAATAACATTCTTCCGTTCTCATACCCTCCAATCCACTCCAAAGGTTTCCTCCTCGATTATCTGACTCTTCTACTCTGCTAATACTGTCGTCTAAGTTGTTGTCAGCGAAGCCAAAATCACTTGTATCTGCTTTATACCAATTACTAATGGCTTTGAATCCCACATTATTTTCCAAAGTAGGAAAGTGAAATTCCCCTTGTGGCCCTGAGTTAACTCCATAGAAACCTTCACCAAATGGGCCAAAACCGTCATCAGATACCTGGCTACAGCTATGGTGATGGTGGAGCATGGGAAATGGGTTGGTTATGCGGCACAAAGACATAGATGATGATGATGTGTTGTTGAATCCTTGCTCTTGTAAGGACATGAAGGTTCCGATGATGTCTTTGAGCTCCAAAGATGAGGAAGACGAAGACGGTGAAGACAAAGAGCCGCTCGCTTTTGGTGATGGGGACAAGTTCGTAATATTTGTCTTCGACATGTTCTTTATCCTTTTCTTGATTTTCGAGTTCCAAAAGTTCTTGATTTCATTGTCGGTCCGACCTGGCAATCTAGCTGCAATTTGAGACCACCTAAGAGTGGAAAATATATTGTCAGAACTAACAAAGATCTGTTTCGTCAAAGACAAGACAGAAGTTGTCAAAGCGTTAAAATTATTAGACCACGTGCGTTATGTAAACTGAAATAAGGAACATGAGTTGCTTGAAACGTAGAAAAAAGAAAAAAGAAAATATTTTCATCAAAAAAGAAAGAAAGAAAATATTCAACTCTTCCAAAATCATGTTATCTACGCCATGGATACCATGGTTTTTTTGGTAATCAGATATCATAAATCAATATTCAAACTAATTTTAAAATTGTGTTATGTGATTTGGATTATACGATCCCTCTCTAAATTTGAAATTCGAATTCGGAGCGAAATTGACGCTTGATATTCCGTTTTACCAGTTGAACTATCCAAATTTGGATTCATGGTTTTGTTTGTATTTCTTTTACACTCTTATCTTTAAAGAAACCTTTGCGTAAATATATAGAGAAGACTCCACATGATAGAGATTCGTTACTTGCAACTTGGTATTATTTGACGCGAGAAGTTAGAAACTAATTTGCTTGCAGATGTAATTTTGGAGAAACATTACCAATTTCACATGGGTTCCAAATCTTTGGTAGACTAGCATAAGCTGGGTTGTAATTCTTCATACAAAAAAATATATATATATATATATAGAGAATATAACTTATTAGATTTTTTATTTTTCTGTAATATTTATTTTTATGTCACTAGTTGAAAACTATATGTGTAATGGAGATATTCACGTGGTTTGAAAGATTAGTTAAATTATTTAACTAAAATGCTTATTTATATATAAAGATAGCGCACATGCTACTCAAAGAATAGATCTCCCTATCAGTTATTTATATATCAAGACATTTGATTTTGTTAATGCAAGGAAAGAGCACCAAGAGAAGATTCAACATTTAGAAGATCTCAAGCAAAAAGGAAACAAGTCAATGTGAAGAAATGGAAGGAACAACCAGTAAGGGAATGATTGCAAGAGAAAAAGAAACATGTCATTGAAGAAAAATGGAAAGATCAAGCAAAAGGAATAAAGTCCAAGAAAAAGGAAAAGAAGATATTGAGCAAAATATTGGAAACAAGAAGAGGAGCTATGCATAAATACAAGACGTGGGAGATACAGAAAGGTATCCCAGCAGAACAGAAAAAGAGAGAAAAGAGCAAACGAGCTGGAGAATCATAGGTGTGGGAAACATGGGTGAGTGATACTTGAGAGAGAGTGAAGTGCATCTGAGGGGGAGCCTTCAAAAACAGGCGAACCGCTCAAAGGGCCTAGACAAGTCTAGGGTTATACGGGGTGTGCGAGGCACACATAGTGTATGGGCTGATAGAATTCATGTTGTAAGGGGGAACAAACTCAGGGGGAGTTGTGTTCTTGGGATGGATTAGACTCGAACAAAAAAGAGTTGTAATTCATGTTCTTTACAAATGAATAGAATCAGTCGGGAAGTTTTTGAAAGCAATATCGTGTGAGTTTTACTTTTTCAATTGGTATCAGAGCAGGTCACTGATCGTAGGAATTCTTTTTTCCTCTCATATCGGTGTACGATTAAGCTTCACACGATGGATGGATACAAGGAGATGCAAGCTTTTGGAAGACATGCAATGTTCGACTCAACAAACTATGAATGCAGGGGATTTGGGTATACAAGGATGAAATATGGCCATAAGAAGGGAAAATCATATATCACTCATGAGAAGGAGAAAACCGAGTTAGACATTGATGACGAAGAAGTTTCTAACTCTATTGCATTCTTTGGAATCATTGAAGAAGGAGAAGAAACAATGGAAGATGATTCAAGTGATGATGAAGAGGTAACTGAGGATGACTTGTTCAACGAGATGACCAAACTCGTTCGAATGAATGGATATCTACTGGATGAGAAAAAGCGGCTGGAGAAGGAACTCAAAAATACTCAGATCCAACTGACATCTACTCAGCATCAACTGTCCCAAAAAGAAGAAAAAGCTTCACTCATGAGATGTCAAATTGAAGAGACCAAGAAAAATCTTCATCTTCTTGGAAGTGGAACTAGTAAGTTGGATCATCTACTTGGACAGGGAAGGGGTGCACGAGATCAATCAGGGCTTGGATATGTGGGAAAGGAGGAATATCACTCAACATTCGTATCCGGAGGAAATCTTGAACGAGAAGTACCTGACTTGGTAAGAAGTACTTTTGGCGTCGTCAGAAATACTCCAAAAGTTAAAATGGATCTACGAACCTCTCGAGAGCAAAAAGAGTGCAGAAACTGCTATTACTGTGGGAAGAGAGGACATATTCGAAGGAATTGCTATTATCTACGACAGAAAAGGAACTCTAATTGGTACGCTCATTTGAATTTGAATCACTCTTATTTGTCTCATCCTTCGAAGAATCTTAGGTGGATCCGTAAATCCGATGTGTCATGCAATGTTGCCTGTACGTCTGAACAAACGAGTGGAGATGGTGTCTGGTATTTGGATAGCGGGTGTTCAAGACACATGACATGACGTCAGAAGCAGTCGACGGATGTTGAAGTAGGTTTGACAAGTAACAATGTCACATTCGGAGATGGAAAACAAGGGAAGATCATTGGTAAATGAACTCTGGAATGTGGTGGAGTATCCAAGCTGGTGGATGTTAAGGTCGTACAAGGCTTAAAGGCTAATTTGATCAGCATAAGTCAACTATGTGATAATGGTATGGAGGTGAAGTTTACAAAGGATGTATGTTTTGTGACCAATGCGGATAACAAGTGTGTTTTAACTGGGCAAAGGACATCAAGCAATTGCTACACATGGGTCGACAGCCAGATTTTCAGAAACTCTCTCAAGGATCCTAAGACACTAACTCAGAATTGAGCAATCGAAAGCTCAGGTATGGTTTTGAATTTATGCTTATGCACAGGGGGAGAAATGGCTCGGAAGGTATATGGTCATACACATAGGGGGAGAGATGATACAAGAAGAGAATGATCAGAAAGGTGTATGGTTAAAGATGTTGAGCGAATATGCATGGTTGAAATCGTTGAGGACGATATCGAAGAGCCAAGTGGATGAATGTGTGTTCAAATATAAGTGTGTATAAGCATAAAGTCAAAAAGGGGGAGAATGTTAATGCAAGGAAAGAGCATCAAGAGAAGATTCAACATTTAGAAGATCTCAAGCAAAAAGAAAACAGGTCAATGTGAATAAATGGAAGGAACAACCAGTAAAGGAATGATTGCAAGAGAAAAAGAAACATGCCATTGAAGAAAAATGGAAAGATCAAGCAAAAGGAATAAAGTCCAAGAAAAAAGAAAAGAAGATATTGAGCAAAATATTGGAAACAAGAAGAGGAGCTATGCATAAATACAAGACGTGGGAGATACAGAAAGATATCCCAACAGAACAGAAAAAGAGAGAAAAGAGCAAACGAGCTGGAGAATCATAGGTGTGGGAAACACGGGTGAGTGATACTTGAGAGAGAGTGAAGTGCATCTGAGGGGGAGCCTTAAAAAACAGGCGAACCGCTCAAAGGGCCTAGACGAGTCTAGGGTTACACGGGGTGTGCGAGGTACACATAGTGTATGGGCTGATAGAATTCATGTTGTAAGGGGGAACAAACTCAGGGGGAGTTGTGTTCTTGGGATGGATTAGACTCGAACAAAAAAGAGTTGTAATTCATGTTCTTTACAAATGAATAGAATCAGTTGGGAAGTTTTTGAAAGCAATATCGTGTGAGTTTTACTTTTTCAGATTTTGTTTGTTGCAGAGATATTGAAAGAGATCAAGTGTGAAAACTTATTTTTAACACAACTAAGAAATTTGAAATAGATCAAGTGTGCATTTCTTTGGAAAATAATTTATACAAAAGCTGAAAAATATATATATATATATATATATATATATATATATATATATATTTGCGTGTGATGATTTCATATACATATAAATAAGTATATAGATATAGTCAAGAGGATACTTATTAAATCTAATTTGAAGTTTGATTCATGTGATATTCCAATTAAATTATGGATAATATTACAAGTAAATGAAGACAAGAGTAGGTGCGGTATCTATTGAGGGTGGAAGACTCTAAAAGGCAAATAAGCTACAAAAGACAAAAGTCACTTTCAATGAAAGATGCAACGCACTTCTTTTTAACACTCCCATGTGAATGTCTCATAACTACTTCGGATTTTTGCTTCATCCACTTTCTCTCTCTCTCTCTTTTTGTTAACTTATAAACCTTCAAAAATATCTTTTTAATCGGAATATTATATGTTTTCCAATTAAATTTCATTCTCCTTTAGATCAAATTCGAGCAAATAACACCAGAAAAAATGGTTTTAATAGATATTGCATATATCCTTATTCAAGAATCTTATTGTATATGTAATATTCTCCAATATATATATAAAAGAAAAGAATCAAACAAAAATATATTTTAAATGGATGTTTATGGGTATATATTTCAAACTCATATTGTCATAACAAAATATATATATATATATATGTATATATGTATACCTGTTGCCAAGTATTGAATGCAATCGAATGATGAGATGTTCTTCATCGGGAGAGAAGGAGCCACGCTTGAGATCAGGGCGGAGATAGTTGATCCAACGGAGGCGACAGCTCTTCCCACACCTTTGGAGGCCGGCGTTTTTCGCCACGTGGCTCCAACATTCCTGGCCGTTTGTCAACATGTACTTCATCAGCTTCGCGTCCTCCTCTGGTGTCCACAGCCCCTTATTCATCGTATCGCTGTTGCTGATTGTGACGTTGACATTGGCGTTCGTAGAATGCTCCGGTTTTCTCATTTTGTTGAAGATATTGGTGGGTTTTTTCAGTTCGTTACGTCGTGCAAAGTTTAGGGTTTGAAAGGGGCAGTGGTTTTATAATGTGTTTCTGTGTGTACATATCAGAGAAGAGAGAGAGAGAGATCTAGAGAGAGAGAGAGAGAGAGAGAGAGAGAGAGAGAGAAGACTTGATGAAGGGTGAATGATGATAATGATGAAAGAGATGGTTGTATGGTTTGCTTACAATTTCAGGGAAGAAAATCCATAACATAAAAAAATATTGGTTCTTTATTAATCACAAAAATCCTTAATACATATGTTTACGTACGCACATTTATATGGTTCGCCTCAAGAAATTACAATAAAACATATTATATATATACGTATATATTTAAAAACACAAACACGCATATATATCATGTTATGCTTTGACACACACACACGCACACATATATATGAATACATATATACACATGTCCTAGTGAGAAGATATGTTAGTTCATGGGACATGAACGAAAACGGTTCCGACAGAGACCCGAGAGGAAAAATGAACGACAAAAAGTAGAAGTGGTCTTCTCTTGTCCGAAGGAAAATGATTTTATTTTTTTGTGGATTTTTCTATTTTTATTTTCGACGTGTATATATATATATATGTGTATTTTTTCTATCCGTGGACGGTTCCATTTTTATTTTCTATATATTAGTTTTCTTCATTGACAAGGTAATGAATTATATGTGAAAAAGTAAAATTATATATCATGTATGGACGGATTTATATTAATGAAATCAAAGTAATATGATTTTCTATTATTATTAGTAATCCAATGATAAAATTTTCTACATCTGTTCACATCCAAATCCATATATAGTAGCATATTCGTTTATGTTATTTTATTAACGTGCTTTTTCATTTACGTACTGTTTTGTGTAATCAAAGAAATTATATAAATTGGGGATAATCGCATAAAAATACCCGAACTTTTATAAAAATTCCACATAAATACCCGAACTATAAAATTGTCATATAAATACCCGAACTTTTCATAACTCTCACATAAATACCCAGACTTTTTATTTTTTTTCCAAATCAAACATCCGTCCGTTAACAGCGTCAATTTCAATCCAAAAAAGTGATGAGTCAGCCAAAAAAGTGATGAGTCAGCCATAAATATTTTATATGCTGATGACTCAACATTAAACATCCAAATATTTTATATGCACTTAGTATTTATTTTTTAAATTGTTATAAAAATCTATACATTTTAAATAAAAAATATATTAAAATACATTTAAAAAGATTTAAATTTAAAACTATAAAAAAATTAAAATTAAAATTTTAATATAAATATAAAACTTAAAAGATTTAAATTTTAATTTTTTATAATATTTATAAAATTTTAAATATTACAAGAAATGAATTGATATAGATATTAAATTTAAATATGAAAATATTTATATAAATTCTATATCTAAAAATATTTACAATTAGTAAAATGTATTTAATTTTAAATACTTTTTTATAAATTAATTAATTTTTATCCAATTATAAATTATGTATTTTTGAATTTTGTTGAAAGTTTATGTGATTTAATTTTTGTTAAAATCATTTCTATTTTTATTCCAATTTAAATTTAGTTTAATTTAAAAATAAAATTCGATCTTTCTTAAATAATAAAAGAAAATACAATAATATTTTATTGAAATTAATTCTTTTCAATTTTATATATCCAAAAAATTGTTTAACGCTATTATTTAATGTCTACAATAAAAAAAATCATTACTTAATGGATAAACTTTCAACAAAATACATAATTTATAATTGGATAAAAATTAATTTATTTATAAAAGGGTATTTAAAATTAAATACATTTTACTAATTGTAAATATTTTTAGATATATAATCTATATAAATATTTTCATATCTAAATTTAATATCTATATCAATTCATTTCTTTGTAATATTTAAAATGTTTATAAATATTATAAAAAATTAAAATTAAAATCTTTTTTAGTTTTATATTTATATTAAGATTTAAATTTAAATTTTTTTATAGTTTTAAATTTAAATTTTTTTAAATGTATTTTAATTTATTTTTTATTTGAAATGTATAGATTTTTATAACAATTTAAAAAATAAATACTAAGTGCATATAAAATATTTGGATGTTTAATGCCGAGTCATCAGCATATAAAATATTTAATGCTGACTCATCACTTTTTTTTGTTGACTCATCACTTTTTTGGATTGAAATTTTTAACGGACAGATGTTTGATTTGGAAACAAATTAAAAGTCTGGGTATTTATGTGGGAGTTGTGAAAAGTTCAGGTATTTATATGACAATTATATAGTTCAGGTATATTTATGTGAGATTTTTGTAAAAGTTCGGGTATTTTTATGCGATTACCCCTAAGTTGTAATTATATATTTATGCATGTCTGTACCTCCATTGTGTACGTAATCGTGTGTATAGGTACGTGTACCCTTATTTATATACACAGGTGCATACGTATTCGTTTTCCATATTTTATTAACCGGTTTCTTCATTTCCAAGGTAAATAACTGTTTTGTGTGGAATCAAAGAAATAATATAAATTATAATTATATATGTATGGACCTCCATTGTATATGTACACGTGTGTATATATTTGCTTGTTTGGTTTTGGTGAGCAAAGCAAAGTTGCTTCGGCTTCACACAAGGTCCTCTCTCGCACCAACACGTATACTTAAAGAAAGAGCTTTGGCAATAATAAAGATTACCAACAAAAGAAATGAATTATTACAATAAAGAAAATATTTTACATAATGCTTTCACCAATGTAAACGTGGCTCGTGATTTCCAACGCTTCAATTAAGATAAACTTTACTATAGAAATATAATTAAGCTATGGGTGGATAACCGAATTTATATGTCAAATGCAATCATGCAAATCTAACAAAAAAACTATTTATATAAAAAATATAAGAAAAAACGTGTGAATGCAACTAATGCAAAGTGATATGCAAAAGTGAAATTTTTTTCCTAAGTCTATATATCATGATAAAATGCACCTAAACAAAATGCAATCCTAAGTAGATAGGCTTGAATGTGTGAAGGATCTATCCACCCCCAGACTTGAACCATACACCGTCAACGGTGTAAACTCTCGCCTGGAAAAATAGAATAAAAAACAACGTGTGAAAAGAACCAATAAGAGGGATAGAGAAGGCTTAGTTCTGCGAAATTCATTCGCTCGCAATGAAGTTAACTCACGTCAAACGCAAGAGCTCTCACACATCTGTGAATTGGAATCTATCCAACGTTGTCTCTCAGAAGTCGATGCTCATCTCTCGTGTACCGGTGTAAACGCTCATAGAACAACAAACTTTATCCGAATAAAAACATAATAATAGCAATGCATTCCGAAAGATCCAAAATACAATCATGGTCTCCACTACCTATGCTACAAAGAAAAATAAAAGAAAAAGAAAAGTTACCTAGTGCTCGGGTTGCCTCCCGAGAAGCGCTTGTTTAACGTCATTAGTTCGACCTATCTTGCTCAAATGATGGGAGGGTCTGAGAGGCGAAGATAATCGATCTTTCGCCACCTTGGATGTTGAGCGTTAAGCGCATCTTTTGTGTTGGGGTTATCTACGGGTTCCTAGCATACGATCATATCGATCTAGGGTTTTGTTTACTAGGTTTCATGCAGCGGAAGAAAGATCTAATCCTAGTCAAACGTCACACGCAACCAAACTCGCAAAACCCAAAAGATCGTGTATATCACCGAGGGAATCGTTACTTACCTCGTTCTCGATGAGATTTGAAGTTTATTTCGATCCGGGGCCTGTTCTAAATCACCTAGGACTGAAGTTACAGTCCCTCTACACGTATCCACACCGACGGGAAGGATTCCAAACGATTTGGAACGAATCTGCTAGGATTAGTGAAGAAAATGATAACTCAAGAGACGAGATCCAATCCCGGGACAATAGAAATCGAAGAGAACAGGTTCTCTAGGGTTCTAGGATGTTTCTCTGAGTTTTTGGTCGGCCTTAATTAAGTTTGGACGAAATCCCAAACTTAAATAAGCTTAGAAAACCCTAAAATCGAATTATGGAAACTTTCCGGATCCCGATCCGCCGGACCAGGAGCTTGGTCCGGCGGACCAAGCTTAGTCCGAGGGTCACGGACCGGCTGACCTGAAGGCTTGGTCCGGCGGACCACGTGTGGTCAGCTCCGCACCAAGACCCTTCTTGGTCAGCTCAGTCCGACTCATCATTTCTCGGTCCGCCTGTCCCAGAGTCTGGTCCGGGGCTGACCAACTCTTGGTCAGTCGGACCAGACCTGTGACAACCCAGAGTACCGTAGGAGGGCGGGGAGTGATCGCCGGTGCAGAGGCACGGACAAGGGGCGGCTCCTGACGAGCTTCTGGGTAGGGGGTACAGGGATGAATCGAACACACCGGAATGAGAGAGATCCGAGGGCTGTATAGGTATGGGACTATACAGTCTAAGATAACATAAAAGAATTAGTTGAACTACTCATAGCAACAAGGTGCACCTACATTTTTGGTTGACTATCCCGAGAGAACTCCAAAGTTAAGCGTGCTGGCTCTGGAGCAATCTCAGGATGGGTGACCTACTGGGAAGTGTCTCGGTATACGTGCGAGTGAGGACAAAACACGCTGAAAGGTCTCGGGTTGCTGTGTGAGGGCAGTTTCGACAATTCGTAGCGGCCTCGGGTCGTTACAGATGGTATCAGAGCTGGTACTCTCCCAGTACGGTGTGGTTCGAGGACGAACCAGGCGAAAGCTGGTGGGCCTGTGACAACCCAGAGTACCGTAGGAGGGCGGGGAGTGATCGCCGGTGCAGAGGCACGGACAAGGGGCGGCTCCTGACGAGCTTCTGGGTAGGGGGTTACAGAGATGAATCGAACACACCGAACTGAGAGAGATCCGATGGCTGTATAGGTATGGGACTATACAATCTAAGATAACATAAAAGAATTAGTTGAGCTACTCATAGCAACAAGGTGCACCTACCTTTTTGGTTGACTATCCCGAGAGAACTCCAAAGTTAA